TACTTGTGTATATACAGCTTATGGTGGGAGGATTTATCCCCTTGATCCCCCCCTCGTAAATACGTCACTGACTCATAGTGAAAATTATTTAGTTACGTTATTCAAACTATACAAGTAATAGAATACACTATCTTACAGAATTTCGGAATTTAAATCTTAATTATTTTCTTTTAGTAAAATTTATTTAATCAAGTTATTATATTTATAAATATGATCAATTGGAATTTTAAAATAACAAAAATTATACTAATATTTAATTTACAATGTGTAATAACTAACAAGTTAAGATAATATAAATATTTATTGTTTATAAAAAGTACATAAGTATACAAAATTAAGTGTTAAAATATTTTAAACTTAGTTAAGTTTGTCAAACTTTTAAAACCTAAAAGAATATTTGTTGAATTACACTCATAGTTATTATAATCAAAACTCTCGTATGAAACTTAATATAAAACTTTTAAACCTTGGGGATCAATATTAAAAACTGTATTAATTTTTAACTACAAAATGATTTAAAAATTGTTGATGAATTTCTTCAAAATGAAATTCCAAATACTCAAAAAAATATTAAATACCATATAATGATTTATGTTCAATTCTTATTAGTTTAAACTACTTATAAAGAATCTTATATTAAATGTTCAAACTTTTTAACCTAACATAATTTATTTTTTGTCGACATTTATTGATAAAAATTACAAAAATAGTATATTTAAAATGTTTATAGTTCAAAAAGTGTCAAGATATTTTTAAAATTATACAAATCGTGTTAGTAGAAAAAGATATTTTTTTTAGATTACATTAGAATAACACAAAAAATGTTGTCAAAAATTAATCTTGAGTATAAATTTTCATTTTTCTTCTTTTTTTCAATAATTAAAAAAGAGTATTGAAAATTATTGACCTATAACCTAAAAAATACTAACTTAATTTATTTTCATACTGAAAAAAAAAATTAAGAATTAAATAATTTCTACTACTTTGAAAAGAAGTAATAGATACAAAAAATTAGATTTAAAAATAAAAACACATCGCTGTAAAACCAATACCTTTATAACTCTGCTTGGAATCTAAAATAACAGAGGTACATTATAAAAAACTATTGTACAAAATTGATTATACATGAAAATGTCTATTCATACAAATCACTCACTAAGAGATTAAAAAATTTATTTCATAGCGGATTTTTTAATTTACACAATTAAATAATATTACTATGTATATTTAATTTACACAATTACATAATAATAGTATATATATTTAATTCTACCAATAATGTTTAGTGATTTACAATTATTACCTATGTGATTCCAGTATGGTGTAAAAATCTCTGGGTGTCTGACAAAATCAATTTTTAAGGTATCGTACGTTATTTGATTTCTTTTATTTTCAAAGTTGTTAGTCAATTCAATTATTTAAGTTTTTTACTATTCGCATTATAACGAATTTTTAAAAAGAATCTTAACCATTAAAAATGGCCAAATGTTGAGATATAGTTATCTAAGATAATATAAAAACAGATTCTGGTTGCCTGTTTTTGTTATAATTGCAATAGTTTTAATACAGCACAAACCTTATATTTGATTGCTGATTCTACTTATTATCTACTTATAATCAGTAAAAATAATATTTAGCTAAATAATAAATTGCTTTTAAATTTTATATTTTTAATAAAAACAAGATATTATTATTTGATCAGTATTAAAGTTATTTTTTTTATATAGCCATATTGCTACAATCCTTTTTTTTTTTCATTTTATGTTTTGAAAGAAAAAATTACACTTAAATTATATTCAATATAAGTTAGTAAATATAATTTATAAAAGATTTATATAAATATAAACTAAAAATTATTTACATAATTTGAATATTTTTTGAACTATATAAAATAAACAAAATTATTTCATGATTGACTATTAAATTTGAATTTTTAGAGATCATGATATTTTTAATTTCCCTTGGGTTTAACATAATGATAATAATAGTAGACTTGTCTTGACTGAACTTGTTTTGAATAATAATTGGTAAAAATATGCACAATATAAATAATTGTGTGATTTAGATTAGAAATGTAAATAATAATTATTAATTAAAAACTTTAATATCAAAATATTCAACCATACTATAAAATTTAATTTATTTTTTAATATTCTTTATAGTTTGTTTTATTCCTCTGATGTGACTGTAGAAAATTACTCTTAAAAAAACTTTTCCCGTTAAAAATGATCCATAAACACAGCTTTTCATCATTGTCTATATTTCCTTTTACGCTTCCTGCAAACGTATTCATTGATCTGATGGTAAATGGAAGAAAGTTTTCCGAAACAATAACAGTATATGTATAAGAAAACGTTGTAGTACTGAGAATATCTGTTCGAACAGATAATATGATAAAACCGTGCTCACCAACTCAAATGCAATATATCTAGCATTTTATTTTTGAAATTATATATGTTCTCGGAATAGAAATTTACTATACTATCATTAAAAGTTCTCGTTTTTCATTACTCGAAGAGCAGTATATATAATTTTAATTAAAACTAAAATGATTTTTGAAAGTATTTTAAAACACGTAATTTATTATACTATACGTACAATCAGTACTTAAAATATGATACACCAAAAATTGAAAAATTAATATCTTAGCATAGGACACAACTATTTAAACCAATTAATCGATTACGCATTAAAACAATTCATTGATAATAATTAAAATTATGATGTTCATAATCTTAAAAACATCAATAAGTTCTTATAACAATTTCAAAAAAAGTATCAAAGTATGCCTTTAAAACAATCAAGTCTGTTATTATAAAATGAATTAAAACTTGTAAAATTCATTCAAAATATATCACACATTTTTTGTAGATTCTTGATAGAAAATATTGTACCTATACTTGTAAATTTTTGAAAATTAACAATAATGTATAAATAGCGATGGATTTTACTTATGATGTGTAAGAGTATGTGTGTTAAAACATGACGTACTTGAGTAAATATTTGTAGGCGGTAAATCTAATAATAATAAAAGAAAAATATTTTTCTAATATTCTTTGAAATATAAAATTCAAGAAAATTTTATGAAAATATATTTGATATTTATTATTAAGTTTCATTAAGAAAAAAGAGAAAGTAGATAACCGTTTTCCTGTCAGTAGGTTTCAATTATAACTCGTCATTGATTAAAAAACTATAATATACATTCTATTAAATTTGAATTGAATAATAAATCGCTGCATACAAACAACGATTCTGAGAGATAACGGTCTGTTAACCTATATTTCAAAATATATTTTATTATTACAATACTAGTAATACGGTAGATTGATTTAATTTTTGCTGAAACATTGTATTTATCATATTATTAATACTTAAATGTTATATTAATAAAAATTTACTAAAAAATAAATTTTTTTTCCCGGTACATTTCTTATTAATTGAATGGAAAAAATAGGGTAGAAAATGAATTTTTAAGCAAATCCAGTTTTTGAGAAAATTAAATTTCTTATTTGTTAAAACTCTATTTTTAAATGCCCATAAAAAAATATCGTGGATTTAGGCTCAATTTTTTTAATTCTAGTATTCAAAATTTATAAGGAGCCTTTTATTAAATTTTAAGTTTTTTAGTTGAACGAAAATATTTACATCAAAATTTGACGGTCATACTTTTTGATAATTAAAGTTATTTAATAATTATTTTAATAATATTACTAATTATTAACAAATATTCATACTCCTGATTATTTTAAAAAGTACTGAAAATTCCCAAAAGAACCAACAACATAACAACATCCAATTTGCCTGCTTGAAACGTCCACAGATGTTGATGATCAGGACATTTTTTTTATTAAGAAAAGCCTTGAGATACTAAAATAATAAATGAAAACGTACAATATTGTAAAATCAATACGTTCCACTCAGAATCTAAAATGTATCAGTAAAACTTAAAAATATATGTGTATATTAGGTACTTGCTTTAATATTAAAATATTAAAAAAAATCAAGATATCTTATTTTATAAATATTTTCCCCCACAAATTTATAGTTTAATGCCCTAAGGATTATCGTCAGTGAGTGGCTTTTATTATCATTTACGCTTATTGTACTTATTTTGTATAGATTGTACAATTCAAATAAAAAATTACCTAAAAATAAATAGATATTTTAATAATTTAAAAATAAAAATTTATGTTTTACAACGATATATACTTACTGTTTTAAATTGTAAGTACAAATTTAAAAGTAAATTTTAAATATTGTAATATTCAACTTTATTTCATTCTTTTATTCTAAAAACAACAAATGTCTTAACACAGTGGTTCTCAACTTTTTTTTCGTTCTGTACTCCTAAGTTTAATATTTTGCTAGATTGTACCCCTCAATATAATTTTTAAACTTTTTCATATAACTACTTTTAAAATATTGAAATAAAATTAAAAAAACATTCTATACTTCATATTTATTAGATAAGTTGACAATTAAGTTTTAATTTGTAACACAAATTTTCATTTTTAATAGCTATATTGAATATTTTCGAAACGAATCGTTACAAATAAACAAATTCAATATTTTCCGCCATTAATTAATTTTTTTCACGTATTCTAGGTTGGAAACCGCTGCATTAACATATTGTATTATAGACAATAATAGTAGTTCATATTTGACTAAATTTATCTTATTTGTTTGTTATATTATATTATTTTCTGTTCAATAAGTTGTTATTATTTATTATTGCCAATATCTCAAATGTCTAACTTGCTCTTTAAAAATTTTTTAATAATTTTTTTTTTTTAAATTTTAAATATTTTTAATACTTAATCTATTCAAATAAGTAGAAGGTAGAACGATAAATGAAAACGATGAAAAAATATATATGATTTATAGAAAGAAGAAGCCTCTCAGTGGAAGAACTTTGATTACCTCGTGAAACATAATTCTAATATATTTTTTATTTTAATCTACGTTTTTATAACATTAATAATTATTTTATTTTATAGATGTTAAGTCTTATTGGGAAGACCCTCTGCCAACGTACGAAATGGCAAATGTACACTATGCACAACCAGGAGAATTGGTCAGACTGTATTGCGAGGGTTTCGTAGGTAAATATATCAACAAACGTTCACCTATTATAGTTCATAATTGTTCTTTTTGGATACACATTATCGTGACAACAATAGTTACATAAATTCTGAAATACGATTGATACAGGAAAAATTGGTCTTCCGGATGCCGTAAACACAATAACGTGGACAAAAATCAGTGAAAAACAGACAATTGTTTCAAACGATAAGTACAGAATAGAAGAAGTGATTAGGTATTGTATAATATTAGACATACTTAAACTAAATCAGCAAACTTAATGTTTGCAGAAATTATTGCGTGTTTTTAATGTTTGTTTATTTTTTCTCACAGGGAAAATGACCAAGTATTAGGAGCATTCCTATTCATAAACAAAATTCAAGAGACTGACTATGGACAGTACATGTGTTCTATCAGCAATACTGATGACCAAATTGTGCAACAATTTACCAACATCACAAAACCTAGTAAGTTTTATTTTTGCTGTCTATTAACAAATTTAAACTCTTTCATATAATACTAAATAAGCATATTTATAGTTTAACATAACACTTCCATAGTATTTATTATAAATATTAATCAATTAATCTTTATTAATTTTTGAATAAATATTATTTTAATTATTGAATTTTTAAGTTAAAAACTAACAAATACATTTCATATATTTATTAAAAAAAATTAAATATATTTTTATTCTTTTGTGTTTAGATAAACATTTTTTAATGACATATTGGTTAAAAAATACAAAAAAATAATTCAATGTATTTACATTGGATAAAGTTTAGGACTTATAAATGTTGTAAATAATATTTATCTATAGGTAAAAAATGTACATGATAATACGTACTACAACATATGCTAATATATTTTATGATAATATGTTACATTGTAGCCATTTGAACATAAACTATATGATGATTTCTGTTATCCTTAAATAATTTTTCCAGATCAACCATCAAATATAACGTCATACTATATAAACGAATATCATATTCTTTTAAATTTTTATTTGAAAAATATGGGATTTCTATATATTGCATTAATACACATATATGCATTTAATTAATTTTTTTTATAAATGCCAATAAAAAATTTTTATTTTGAAAAAATGCTTCAAAATTCAATACAAAGTTCCTTATACGCTTTTCATTTAACAATTAAAGAGTATCAAAAATTCATATTAACATTATTTTTTTAAAAACGTTTAAAATTAAAATATTGACAAAATTCGTAAAAAAAAATTTTTATATATATAATCATATGTATGAGATATTAAAATTAAATACAAAATGCCTTATAAGTGTTTCTACCTATAATGAAAAAAAAATTTAGCACAAAGTTACATGATTTTTTTTATAAGCATCTGAAGTTCATATTTTTATAACATTAGATATCAACAATTAACCATGATATATAATTTAAATTTACGTCAAATATGTATATTGTAATAATACAACATTCAAATAATTTTGACTATTTGAGGTATTGATGATAAGGTATGAAAAAATGTCGATATATTTTTTTTTTTTTTAGATAAAAATAATTTAACTTGATCAAACAGCTTTCTTACAGCTAAACAAAAATATTAAATACATAAGTAGGCACATTTTTTTATATGGGTTTAAAGAACTGTTTTTTGTATTTAATTAAAATTAAAACACGTCCATTATAGTGACAATCACTGGGCACTTAAAGTACAGAAGACCAATTCTCACTTACTCGCCTTTTTTACATGAATATTTACATAATATGATCTAAAATATTTAATTTGACATAAGATAGATTATAGGTAATAATTGATGTAAAAAAATATTTAAAATGGTTCAAAATTAATTTTTATGAATTACAATAATTAAACAATTCAATATTACAAGTGTGTGTTAAGTTATTCAACCTATTTACTGGTTAAACTTGACTATTTTACTCAGGTATTCGAGTTATTTTGGCATGTAAATGTCAAAATATAGAACCTAAAAATTATGTAAAAATAAACACTAAAACTTTTGAAATACATAAGTATAATATGTAGGTACATCAAATGTCCTAATATAAAAAAAATCATGAAAAAATATTTTTTATGGAATCAAATTTTTGATTATGCACTCTTCTGTCAAGCTAAACTAAAATCAATATATAATATATTAATATAATTTCTTCATCATCATTGTTCATTATTGCTAATTTCAAATTAAAATATTATATCATAATTTATTTATAATAACTGAAATAATTATATGGATAGTGCAGCATTTTTATTCTTATTTCCCTACATTTAACTTTCTGTAAATTTAAATTTTATATTTATGTACTACGAATCATGATAATTAATAATATTAATTATTATGTGTCAACCTAGTTAACATTTACATTTTACAGTACTGATTTGGAAAAGTTAAACTAACAAAAATATTTGTATTTTGTCCATATAGTATACGTATATTACTTATTTAGTGTGGTTTAAACATTAATATTTGATATTGTGTATAATTTTGTTAGTATAAGGAACTTCATATGAGTGAAAATTGTTTTAGACAACTTGACATTACCCGTAACTAGTTATAATACAATAGTTTTAATTACTTCACACTGTTATGGTTCTAATAATTAATATTGTAACTAAACATATTTTTCTCTTGAATTCTATATTTTAATATTTAAATAAGATGCTTAAATATTAATAAGATAATTTTTTTTTAACTATTAAAATCAAATAAAAAAAAAATAAATAAATATTCTAATTACCTTATAAAATATAAATATGTAAAAATATTTTATAATATGACTGTTACATAACATGGGAAAACGGTAACATATTATTATTTATATTTATAATTTATGTTACATAAGCAATACTTTTTCCAAGCCACAATACGCCAGTCTGATGATAGTTAATTTTAAATTTTAAATATTTAAACATTACATCATTTTATTAATAGTTAGATCGATTGTCAATGTATGTTTTGTTGTTTGTTTTTTAGTGTTTAACTACGAACAATCCGATAAAAAAGTGCAAAGAGACCTTAAATTGATAATTTTTGTCATGATTGCGTTAATTTTGATCGTTTGGAAACGCTGGTGGTTCTACTTAACGTATCAAAAGCTGAAAAAAAAATTTGAAAGTGATAAATATGCGCTATGTAAGGATTTTTTTTAACAATATTTATGAGAACAGTATAATATTTTTCATTACTTTTTTATTTCTGTTATTTAGTATTTACATGTTATTTACGTATGTGTATTTTACGATATTTACAGCGGAGAAAACTATATATAATGTAATTGTCGTTTACGACGAAGCGAACAAAGACAATGCCCAATATTTAGTGGAAAATATGGAACATCGTGATAATTATATAACTAAGAAATATCACATCGATTTTGACAAAGGTAAACATTTGTTTGTTTATTTATATGCATATTATATTTTGTTTTAATTTATTCCGTTTTTCTAGACTTAATCAGAACACAAACAGATTTAGTTAAAGGTTTTGACTTTGCTATTTATTTATTATCTTCTGATGACAAAATTACATCGTCACTGATGAAAAAATCATCGCAAACATCTTTTGTCCAAAACAACGTTACTCCTAAGAAATTCATAATCGTAAGTAAATCGTTTAACAAATATTAATCAATAAACATAAAAAAGTTGTTTTTTTGTGCTGTTTGTGTACACTTTATGTTAGCCAGGTAACAAGTTAGATTAAATTAATTAACTTAATATTATGTTGTATGCCTTAAACTATTTAGTTTTATATCTATTTGATATATTGTTAAATTAATAAATAATAATAAATAAATTGCTATTCCCAGCATAATTATATCAATTGTATTACAGACCGACCCGAGACTATAAATCATTTTATAGCTTCTTTGACTAAAAATACATCAATACGGGGCACTTTTCCCTTCTGTATAAATAATATATTAATATGAATTTATAACTTAATAAATATTACAAATAATATTCGAAATATTTTAGAAATTTATCACGTTTTTTTATACGTATATATAAATGTCAGAACTAATTCTATTGTATGCGTGAATCGATAATTTTTATTTTTGAAAATTACTTAATGGTGTATATTGACAGTATCACTGACCAATTTAATTCACCTGTAAATTTTAAAACTAAGAAAATTATAAAACTATAATAATTTTGTTGTAGTACATAGTGATGCATCTAAATCAAAATTGTAATTAGTAGTTTTTGAGTTATCAATATATTTATAGAATATAAACAGTAGTATAAAATGTATAAGTTATATAATATAACTATCTCCGTGTACATCATCGACCATACGTATCCGTGTTAAATTTGGTTTTTTAACTAGGTACATAGATAATATTTCCGACATATTAACTTTACATAACTGTCCCGATCATAGTTGCTTTTTTAAATTATTTATTTATTTTTTTTTTTTTTTTTTTGTTGAATTAAATAAATTTGATTTTCTTTTAACCTAACCAATAACTTATACATTTTCAATAGTATGAACAAAAAACAACAAAAAAGTTTTAAATTGTTATTACTATAACAACTATACACTAAAATACTTATTTTTAATAATAACTAATAATTGATAACATAGACGAAAAAAATGTCTTTATATGCTTATTTGCCAATTATTTAAAAAATTAATAACTCGATTTTTTATTAATATATAGAATCAGAAATAAACTTATAACCTGCTCCGCAATGTATTTTTTCATTAAAAAAAAAAATCAGAAGTAGTTTCAGAAAACATGAGTAATAATTTCCATTTTCATATTTATATGTATAAATAATGTATTGATACGACAAAACACGATGTTTGGGTATCAAATTTAAGCTGAATTTTTGATAAAATCTATTTTTATGTATGGTAATATAACTCCAAAATTTCTAAATGAGTATCCTCAAAAAATCTAATTAGTATTCAATACACCTATTGCGTATTTAACTTCTAGACCGACCTATTTAGCCCTCATACTAAATACATTTTTACGGTTAACTACTATACTATCTAACTACTTGTTAGGCCAACATAGTCAAAAACTTTCCATTGGTAGCCTGACAATTTTAAATTGTATACACCCCCGAAATTTCAGAAAAATTAATAAATATATTTCTAGAGAGTAAAACTGTACCTGTCAACTTCTTATTATAGGTATAAGTATGAAAATGTGTAACCTTAACTTCTCCCAATAGGTTAGCTTAAGAAGTATAATAATAATATATGATAAATATACTCAATATTTTTTCAGGTCAACTATTTTAACACAAACAATATTATCATTCAAAATTTTACAACTTTGTCTACTTATTAAAATAGCTATTAATTAATCTATACGTTATATTAATATTTTCATGTCGCATGTTTCAGGACTGTAGCAATATGCCCGTGACGCCGACGAAATCGTGGTGTGACAGTGTCTTGGCGGATCTGAGAAGTGTTGAGCACGTAAAGCGAAATAAAAATACCTCGAACAAATTGATGAGAGTCGTCTAAATATAATTATAACTACGTTCGGTAGCCGTCAATGTCATAATATAATGATTATATTAGATTGTTGAAACATAGTATTCCTATATACACCAAACATTATATAACTACAAAATGAGATTCCATTTACAAAAACAAACATTTTTATTTATTATTGTTATATAATCTAATATAAAATATTATATAAGTGCCTAATAATTTTATTGATTTCGTTATGATTATTTACATAATAATTTATAATAATTTTATTACAATTTACTACCGACAAGTCCCATTATATAATATTATATACTACATTCAATATTCATATGCATATACTTTGTAGTGTATACACAAGTTTAATCATTTTTATATCCTATGGACGTTAATTATTGTTGTACTTAATAATATTGTAGTGTTTGTACGTGATTAACCCATGACAAGTTTTACTTAAATCATCGAACGGACAAATTTAATTTAATGTAGGATCAATATTGTTGTTATTGCTATTACGATGTGTACAGCTTACTGTGGTGAGTTTATTGTATTTATTTAATATTGATTTAATTCGACTGTTTTGTATGTATAATAGTTACTATTTATGTAAACAGTATTAATTTGTGCCGTAAGAAAATGATCAATCATCAATTCTTCCTCGCACGAATCTAATTTTTCAATTTTCTAATCGTGTTTTAATAATGTAATGTAATGTTATGTTTATTTTCTCATTTTCTCTGATTTTCACCATATTTCTCACTCTTTTTCTCTATCTGTCTCTGTCTCTCCCCTCTATATTCCTTATACTCTCAATCTTGATGAATCAAAGTTTTGATTCTTTTTTTTTTTACCACTTAGGTTTAATTTTGGAGATAACATTTAATTTCAATGTAATAAAACATCTATTATAAAATGTTTAAATTATTATTTTTTTATAACATACATAATAACCTTATAATTTGTTTTACTTTATTTAACATATTTTTTTTTTGCTTCCTTTTATATAATCCGGTACACGAATCGATCGATCAATACACTTAAACATTTTTATCCAGTCTAAATATACCTACTAGTATTTTAAATTCAAAGCCGGTATCAAAATATCTTTATAAAACTTGTGTTAGTGTTTGATATGAAATATGAGACATTTTAACGGCTCAGCTCGTATTTTTTTCTGCGAAATATGATCGAAATATGATAATATTTAGCAAACATCTGTCTATAATCTGCGAAGTCATAATATAATTACATGACCATCGTTGGTCAGTGTCCAGTGGTCATTATAAAATTTGTATTGAGTATGATCAGAAAGACTGCAATGTATTCTGTGATCAGCCAGCGTGGCAATGCTTAAAAACAGAACGATAATGTTGTGGATTATGGTCTGTCGTCGAAGCGCGCGCGCAAAAATGATGCATTCCGCGTGAACGACTTTATAATATTATGTGACTGGCGGTATCAGGCGGGGCACCGTCCTGGAAGGAAGATGATGCGTCGATCGATTTAGTGTCTCTAAATGAGTTTCGTATACACATTTTATACCGCTTATTAGGAACACTGATAGACCTGCAAGACTAAATTTATCAATTAACCGATTACTTCTGACAGGCAATAAGTTTTATTTTTTTATGAAAAAAAAAAAATGTATGATTTAAAATCTAAAATGAGAAAAAAAAGAATTATTTTATATTTTATGTAAAATATGTATCTGTTGTTTGTTTTTTTTTTTGTGTTGAGTAACTACCATGCGTTTATAAGATTAATGTTGCTTAAAGCTTTTTTTCATTAGTTCTGTCTATAACATTTTTTTTCCGACTACCACATTAATTTACCTATGTTACGCGTTCAATCTTTGAACGATTTTTCAAAATCCTATCCATTGTGGAATGATAAACATTTAATCGAGTTGCGATATCACGTAAACTAATTTTTAAAAACACATCGCGTGTAACCTTAACAAGTCGCACTTCTGTCTCAAATTTAAATCTCGGCATATGGCATTTTTAGATTTTTAGAAAAACGAAATACTACCTAACCATCTTTACGTACACACATCGAAGCTGAACTAAAACGATAACAGTAAAAATAAATAAAGTTAATTGGACAAGCGGAAATTCGTATCGTTACCTAACGACATCAAAGATAAGATAATGTAGTATACCGTAGTAATATCTTGACCCTAATAATTGTTTCAAATAACCAATGTATTGTTTCAATAATCTGATTGATATTTAATGTTTTAATAAACAGTCGGTTAACGAATAGCATAACTAGGGTCCGTCCCTAGACATTTGGTTTCAATAATGTGATTATATCATTACAAATCGACATACCGTCTAATTAACAAATAAAAACTATTTGAAATTAAAATTCTTATCGTATATCTCGTGGATATTACATAAAGTATCTGTGGATAATGGAATATACATTATACTTATTTTTTTTTTATTATTTTTTTTTTTTTTATTGAACTTAAGCCCGGCAACTAGGGCCATTAGCTGTTTGTAAGGGTTACGTTGTAGGTTGGTACGGTAGGTTGTATTTTTTATGATTGTTACGGTTGATAGCAAACACGTGTATGTGTGGCAAGGTTTTTAACCACTATGATCCCGAGTGGTCACCCATCCGGGAGCTAGTAGCTGTGGCCGTTACTTACTCTCAGTCGCATTCCGCGACTGGTAGCAGCCAACGCGCCACGCCAAGCCACATATACTTATTTTATACATGCACATCTCACGCGTTAATAATTTAAGAAATGCAATTATTTTTAATATACCTATATCTACCTATTAATATGTCACTACATTTATTTTCATATAATTTAAGTCATATTAAACATCTTAATTTTGTTTATTATATAGTATTTTCTGTGGTTTATATAATTTATTATTCATACCAACTTTGTGCTTTATTTACAAATATCAAAAATTAAACATTTATGTAAGTATGTATAGGCATATAGATATAAGCATATAGTCTATGAGTAAAGTAATGTTGAAATATAAAAATACATCTTATATAAATCTAATAAAAATAACATATTCATGAAAAAAATAGTATCAATCATAATATTTTATAAATACATGCATATATGATTCAATGTAGACCACAATAGCTCCGATAACCTTAGATAGTTTTTCTGTCGCGTAATTATTTAAAAACCAAACAAGTCATGGTGTACTAAAGTCTAATAATATATTATTTAAAATATAAAAAGTTTTAAAATTAGTATATTATGAATATTATTAATATTAATTAATTGCCTATTACAGAAACCTCTCATAAGCCTCACGCCTCAGATTAGGTTAAATTTTTTCTTCCGCAATGTTTTATTTTTATTTAATATTTTAATATTCTTGCAATGTATATATTATTGTACATATTTTATACATTTATATTAACGAAACATAACATTTAATTTTATTTAATCGGATTTTTTTTTTTTTTTAGCTATTTTATTTTAGGAAGTTTTATTATAAATATGTTTAAAGTTTATATTACTAACATAGTGGTAGCAAAATCGTAAATTTTTATAAGGAAAATAACTAAGCCAAAATACATACAAGCGTTTAAGTTGATTATAAACGCATTAAATATATAAGTCATTATTAGAACTTAGGTCTCGAATTTAAATACCCTAGAAGCATACCTTATTTTATCACACAACCACCTAATTTCCCTAAAATATTCAGAAAATTTTAATTTTATTACATATATTAATGTTTAAGGAAATTCTAATATTAAATAATTATACAGTCAAATTCGCTTATTACGATCTTCAAGGGACCAAGAGAATCTGATCATTATAACCAAACTTCGTTATATCCGGATTATAAAATGTAACAATACATAAGACATAAAACCAACCAAATACATTGCTTGGAATTGTTTTACCCGGAATATCGTTGTAAACGGCATCGTTATAAGCGAATTCGATGGTACTATAAAAATTGAAAATGATTCATCGCGCATTAGCTATGTTTTTTATCGGTAACAACATTTCCTTAGGACTATATGCTAATATTATTCATACTAATTAACAAAACTATACGTTCAACTATTTTATACCAATTAAATTTTGAGAAATTCATTAAACAAATAATTTTTAAATTTCTCAAGATAATTTTTTTCAAATTACTTAACTTTACAATAAAAACTTAAAAAAAGTATTAAATAATATGTTTTAAAAACTAAAGAATGCGTTATAATCAGAAAATTGTCTAAAAATCAAAAACATTAAAAAATTCAAAGTAAAAATTCCCTTTTTGAAGTATTAATTGTAATTTTAATTATATTATTTTTATGCCATGGTTTAAACCACTGCGTATCTATTTTAAATTGTTGATAATTTTAAGAATTTTATTGATTTTTTTGATGAAGAACTTCAAAAAACAAAAAAAACTATTGAGCGATATTACCTCTCTTCTTCTACTATATTATATACCACTGACCATTGGTCAACATGGTTGAAAACAACAAATCATTAAATATTAACAAACCACAAAAGCTAGATATTTTATTCTAAATTTTTATTTTAATAACAAAATAACTTTTATAATTTCTTGGTAATAATATTGTAACGCATACAAAATAGAAAAAATACTATAAAATATGTAGATAACACCTAACTATTTATTAAAATGATAACCAAGATTTTTGTGGATTATCTCAATTCGCAGTATATTATACTATTGCACAGCTGTACAAAAGTTAAGCAGGTTTTTTAATAATTAATATTTGAATGATATAATATATAAGTTATACACAGTGTACCACTTAAAGGCTATTTTATACATATTATATACAGGCCCGTACTGGCCACCTCTAAGGAATGTATATATATATTTAAAAGGCACCAACTATATTTTTATACATCCACTTCAAAAGAAAAAATTGGTTTCTGCCCTTAATTGTTTTATTTACAATCTACTTTCTAGAGATGTTAAATAAAGATCATGATTTATTCTGCGATTTTAAACAAAATACCAAACGAAATAATAAGTTTCATAGTAAGAAGGCTAAAAGAATAAATTGTGTGCTTACTTTTAAAATTGAATCTTATTCATATTTTATACAAAAACAAACCGTAACAGTTTTTAAACGCTTTAAAAAAAAAAAAATACACAAACTTGACTTATATCTTAATAAATCAATAAGTAAGTATAAACGTTGCATTTTTTTTTTTTTTTGCTATTCGAACACAGAGCATTT